AAATAGAAGCGGAGTGCTTTGCTATTTGGGGTTCTTGATATCTGCTTCAAAAGTCATCTGTTGCAACTGTAGTAAATAGCAGGGTTAACGCTGGCAGGTTCTTGCTCGGAGACACAGTATCCTTCCCGTGTGCCAGCCAGTAGCTCAGCCTTTATTGTCTGGTGGGTCTTCTGCTACAGAAGAGCTCCTTTATTAATTGTGTGCTGTCAAGGGGCCTGCGGAGGGAGGGCAGAAGCCCCTGGTTTCCGAGGAAGCCGATTTGCTATGGCTGTGTGTGAAACCCAGGAAGACAAGGATGCTGGGAGATAATGAGATTAGGGGCTGCATAGACCGCTTTTGTGGGATTCCAATTAGCTTTACCAAATTAGATTACACAGGCCTGAGAAACGCTGAGAGCGAGAAGGAGGTCTGCATGTGACTTTCCGATGGTGCGATACATTTGGAACGCAGAGCTGTGAACGGCTCCTCTGTGGCTCCCAGTCATCTTTCGCAGAGATGGCTCGTCACAAATACCTCTTTTGGATGAAACCGACATGCCTGTCCCCTGGTGCTGGAATGTGTCTTGGGGTTAAATTGGAGAATAACACACAGTCAACCTTTAAAAAAAAAAAAAAAAAACCATTAGCATCCTGCTTCTAAAGAACTCGGATTATTACTTATCCACCTCTTCTGATCGTTAGAAAACACGGATGAGTCGCTATAAAGGAAACCCAAACCCGTGGTCGTCGCAGAATGTGGGGCGTTGGTGCTGGTGTAACTGTAACATGCTTTGATGGTGACAGGCTAGCAAGTTATGTTGGGCATGTTGCAGAAAAGTGTTTTATATCCTCTTTCTAAATGTAACCCTTGGGAACACGCATTAATCCAATCTTTTTTTGGGGATCCCTCTTCCAGTGGTCTGTGGGCCAAGCCGATGGCTTTGGGGGATTTGATGGTCTTTCAAATGTGTTTGTAGCCGGGAGTGTATTTATATCCAGAGCTGCATCCGTAAGTATAAGCCCCCTTCGTAAGTATAAGCCTCTTCAAATTACTCACTTTCAGGAATTAAATACACCATAAACTAAGATGAAACGTTGCTAAGAAGCACAGTTTTAACAAAAATCATGTCTTAAACTTAGTCAATAAGCTTGTTTCAAATACATTTCTTTGTCCATGCAGTGTGTATAGTATGTGCTAATACCTTTTTATTGTCCTAAGCCTGATTGCAGGACATTAGTCCCTATCTACACTTGTCAGCTAATTAAACCTTTGAGGGAAGAATGAACAAACAGAAACAATGCTTTGTGTTTTTCTTTATTAAACCCCATGGGCATATTTCCCTTAGTTGTTAATCACACCGCGTCAAGTGTGCAGACTTAAAGAACGTGCATCTGGAGAGCTGGAGACATGGACTTCAACTGTCTTCCAGAGAAGTTAATTATTTCATGTGATACCTTTAGTTTACAATGGCAAGTCATATTCTTACAGTGTTTACTGCAGTGCGAGTTGCTTGACAAAATGCGCACGAATGTTGTCGTGGAAAGGTGTCTGATGCCTCCGAGGTATGCTCATAGGCAGAAGCCCTAATTTCCTCCCATTCTATCTGGATGATGAGCTACATGGGGAAAAAGATCTTTACTTTATGTAGGGAGGCTGCATGTGAGTGTTTATTGGCTTCTCTTCCTTGAGATAACCGTAAAGTGAAATCCCAAACTCTTTCCCTTCTTTAGCGCACAATTCTGGGAGTGACTGAGGAAGAGCAGTGGTGTGTGACAGGCACTGGGAAGGTTAGAAGACACTAATCAACAATCAGTTCCCTAATGAATTACAAAATAGATTTGGATTCGGCACCACTGAGCCTTGGAGGCACAGAGAGGTGCCGAGAGGCAATCCAGAGTGTTTAATTACAGCTGGAGGCTAACGAGGAGAGGGCTTGCTTCCTGCGGGGCTAACGGGGTGCCTTGCAGAGCTTTTCCCACTCCACCAGAGCTCAGGGGAAACCAGCCTCTTTCAGACAGGCAGCACTTCACGAGTGGGGTCTAGTCCTAAAGCAGCCGTGTCCAGAGAGGTGAAGCCCTGCTTTGTGAGCGTATATTGTTCAGTCTAGGACTGGAGAATGGCAGCCGTCTGTTCAAATAGATTTAGTTTTGTTTTGCATATAGTAAGTGTGCCTACAGTATGTATTCAGTGTGTGTATCAATCCATCCATCCATTTTCCAAGTGCTTTATCCGTTAAAGGGTCAGTGGGAATCTGGAGCCTAGCAATGGGCACAGGGCAGGATACGCTCAGGACAGGACCAGTCCACTGCAGGGCATGCCCACAGCAGGGGCATTTTTGTTTCTCCCAGAAGTCAATAAATGTACCAGTGTATCTTTGGGTTGCAGAGGAAACAGGAGCACCCGGAGGAAACCCTCGTGAACACAAGGAGAACATACAAACTCCACGCAGACAGCACCTCAGCAGCTGAACCCAGGGTGCCAGTGTCATAAGGAAGCAGTGCTATCCACTGAAACACAGTGCTGAGCGTGAGAGTAGAGCACAGTTTATTGTCATGTGCAAAAAATACTTAGTTGCATGTATCCTCCTATACAAAGAAATCAAGGAAACACCAAAAACAAAAACACAGAACAGTGACAACAACAACAAGTGAAATAACATGCATCTTAGAGGAGAAAAAACATCAGTGTGAGCCAGTGGTATAGTATACATATCCTTCTTCTCCAAACACGCATTAGTGAATAAGCCTTTGGACTTTTATACCTGGTGGGTTTTGGGTACGAGTCCGTACCTTGAGCGAGGCTCTTTACCCCAGTTGCTCCAGTCCACCCAGCTGTATAAAGGGGAGCCAGCATTGGATCATTTTGTTCACACAATTAAAATACGATAATGAGCTTTGCTAATAAATGCAATAACCAGCTACTTCTGTCATTAAGTCTTCCTCACTTCCCTTGCGGGTATTTAAGCAGGACAAACTACACCAATTAGTGGTGTTGCTCTAACGCAAGTCTGTAATTGCCTGCAGATCTTCAGAAAAGTCTAAATAATAGGGAAATTATCTCCCAAGCACAACGCTGTATGAAAATGAAAGCCTGTTGGAAATAACAGGCTGGGGAGGAGGCTGATGCAAAGCTCACAAGATTAAAGAGCTACACTGTGAAGCAGCCAGGGTTAAATAAGGAGAGATGGAATTGAAATGTTGATGAGTAATTGCGTCCCATGGCTGCGGATGGTGGTGTCCTGCTCTAGCCTAGCTGTGCAGACGTTTCAAGGCTAAAGGAGCACCGGTGCTGTGGCAGGAAGAATGAGGCGCACTGGCCTTGCTGGAGACACCAGGAAAAGCAACAGCAGTGGCTGGGCTGGACAGGGCCGGTAGGGGCTGCACTCGGACACTGCCCTCTCAGGAGCAACAGGAAGGGCCCGGAGGAGCAGACAGCCTGGGCTGAAGCAGAACAAAAACCACATGCAGGAAAATGGAAAACAGACTTGGAGACCTCGCACTTAGAAGGCGTTGGGAGATGACTAAGTGCCTCATCGGTTGAGACGAGAGGCGATGAGCAGCAAGTACTATAGCACGCAGAAGTGATGTAATGTGACGCTGGTAGCAGCGAAGTGCGCCGTCGTTTTAATGGTGGAGCTGTTGGTGTTCAATATTTCCTGAAAAAAATTCAACTTTCCAACATCCTTCCTTTAGAAGAAAAACCAGGGCTTTGATTTTTTTTTATAATAAAGTAAATAAAAGGAGCTTTTGCAAAGGTCACATCTATTTAATTACAAGCAAAGGGAGCTGGGGCTCATGCATTCTTTTGTAAAACAGGCTGGTAAAAAGAATCATGGTAGTGTCTTTGGCTTTAAATGAATTTTAAATGAAAGCTGTTTTGCCACAGCAACTTCCTTGATGTCTTCAAGTAGCAAGGAGCTTGTAAACTTGGTGATCCCTCAGTTTCACAGACTAATGGGGGGGAGGGTTTTGTACATTTTTACACCCCCCAAGACACTATTACAGTATGAGAAATACATACTGTATATGCTTCCTGGACCCTTTGACTTATTGTTTTAACAGTTACAACCAAGACAGTCAATGAAAATTGTTCCTGTGATTTTTTTTTTATCATTCATGAAGTTATTTTTTTTCCATGTCATAATGTAAATATACTGTATAAAATTTGTGAAAGCATCCAAAACACAAACACCACCCATCATAAGCAATTGGCCTGATCCTATAGGGCACCATTCATAGTTCAGAATCTTATACACATACTGTAGTATTTATTTTTAACTTGTATTATTTGTACATTTCCCCATTATTGCCGGGAAAGTCAAAATATTTCTGACTTTACCCACAAAATTCCCCTTTGAGCAGACTTGATTAAAGGGAGGGTCTGCTCTCCCTGGAATGTGTCTACCTCCTTCTGCTGCAGAACTCAGCTCCACCAGGAGGCCACCTCAGCATGTTTCACTTCAGAGCTGAACCCTTCGGTTGCCTCCGATTGCGACTGTTCCAGAATAAGGGACAGTGGGGCTGCAGGCTTCTTCTAAAGCGAGGCGCAAACTACTGGAAAAAAAACAAGCAATGCAAATTCCACTAGCTCAAACTTCACAGATTAAATATCTGGGACTCAGATTTCATGCTCCTTCGAGACTGCTTATATATTAAGCCTTTATTTTGTGGAATTTGAGCTCGACTCTCCATACATACATAAGCACTGCTGCAGAATGCCAACATCTCCACCGGTCCAGCAGGGTCCCGGAGAGAGAGTGCGCTCTCCAGCTCTGCCTGTCCTCCTGTTGTTTTTCTGAACTGTGATGGGTGTTTTATTTACAGCTGGAACACAACGGGCAGGGTTTTCATCAGCCTAAGGGAGGGGGAGTTTAACAAGATGGATGAACTCCAAAGCCAAAAGGAGAAACAGAAACCCTTGATGGCTGTGTGTCCAACACACCCAGGGCAACTTTCTCTCCCAACTTGGGCACCTCGCTTAGTACCCACCCCAGCAAGGATGAGCCATGGATGCAAATTCGATTACTTCATTGTCATATACCTTTATTTGTACACACCCTTCAAACTACAGTTAACAGGGAACAAAGCAGAACATGCAAAACAGAAAAAGACGACCAAAACAAGAAAAAGGAAAAAGAACCATTAGGCAATTATAAGAAAATAATATATGTTAAGGAGGATTTGATGAAGGACAACCATTCTATCAACAGCATGCTGCAGCACAGAGACTGTGCTGGCCCTGTTCTTGTAGAAAGCACTGGGACCTCTTTCTTTTTTTGCTGTCATCTATATTAGATCAGTATCAGACTGAGATTATCAAGGGGAAGACAGTATTAATCACACATTTATTCTGACTGTACATTTGGTAGGCTTTGTTATGCTTATACCAGAGCTGATAAAAGCAGATGATGGAACTGCATTGAAAAAACACAAATACAGTATAGCCAGATGCAAGTTTTTTCAGCACTACAGGAATTGTGCAGCATTTCAGTTTAGTTTTAGAATGCTTTCACTAACATAAAAAACATTCTCTCATTAATGGTGCATCTATCTGCAGCTATTCTTTTATCTTTCAAAGGAAAATATTTGAATGAGAAAAGTCTCTTTAAGAATAGTGTGCCTGGTTAACCTCACTTCTCAAGATAAACTGCTCTGTCTCCACGCTTTCTGCCATAACAGGGCCAGACGGAGATCATTCTGCCACGCTGCAGAACACTGTGACTTCATTATGAAAATAACATTCTCGTTCCACGTAGACATCTCAGAGTTGTGCATCAATTTCTATATACTGTATGAAAGCCTAAGGATTCACAAAGTGCAGCTTACAGAAATCCCATTCCTGCTGATTTGTGCAAACTTCTTTCCATTTTGAAAGTTTTGCTTTTTAAAAAAATACAAAACAGCTTTATGTGCATTAGTTTCCAGAGACGACAAACCGAAAGCGATAAAATCACTTGGTTACAACATCGATAAGAAACGTTTTGATTCACCCCGCCCCATTACAAAAGGATTTTTCATTCGATACTTTTAATACCTCCTAAAGAAATGCTGAAATAAAAAAAACGGAGTAGCTTTTACAAACAGTATGAAATACACTGGTGAAACAGCAGGGCTTGATTATGGCACAAGGTACCAAAAGGGTTTTGACACATGATTAGAAAACAAACATGAAAACAGCCAAATAATACAATGTGGATGTATGGTCAGAAAAACAGTTAAACTATTGTGCTCTATCCCCAAATACAAATATTTCAATGGCCTGTACATATATGGAACTAAAATCTTACAGTGAAATATAAAAAATTATCTTACTTTGAATCTATAACTGCTAAAGTTCTCAGGAGAGTCTCAGATGGATACTGAATATCAGAACAGTGACAGACAAACAACCAAAATTAAATGTACCAAAAGCTAGGAATATTTACATTATATATTTGACAAAATAAGTACTCTATGGGATACCTGAAGCAGGTTAGAAATTCTCATAAAAGTAATAGTTGCACATACTGTATTTCTAGTCAGCTGAGGAGCTTACATATAATGCAAAATCATTTTAACTTAGCAAAATGCATCTTAAGAGGTACAAAGTATATTGCTGGGTACACGTTTTAAAGTAAGGAACATGTGGCATTCAGAATTTTTGAAGTACTGACTTGTATGTTGCAAAATACAGAATGTGTTTTTTCTTCTACAACCTACAAACATCCACTTCAGAGCTGCCTCTAATACAAGTTTACAATGTTCAATAGACGCCTCAGACGCAGGGGGAATAAGCAGGTATAGATGAAGACATTGGGAAACAAGGCAGTCTGCGCCTCGTCTTTTCTGTGATCCACAGGGGAAAACTGCGCCCTCATGCAAAAAGAAGTAATGTATTCACTTGGCACCCGTGTGGTAATAAAAAGCACAGAAGGAAAGACAAACTGTAAGGTAAAAATGTAATTGGTGTAGGGTCAGCAATGCATTCGTTTAGGACATACTGTATTTGGTAGTGGTGGAATTTTAAAGTCTGCAGGAATTTTGACAGGGTCTTGACTAATTATTACAATTATTTCTAACAACACACAAACAACAGGCTTTGGTTTATCCCTGCATGAGCTCAAAGCCAGCGTGAACATCCCTAGTGACCTGGGGGTCCACGATCCAGATGTTTATGAGGCCAGATGCAGTGAGATTTCATTCTGACTTTGAATCATGTATATCCTGAGGAAGCTGGGCCTGCGGAGTCTTATTTACACACTTATTTAACCTGTCTTGACAGGTCTCCAGTTGACTCAAGTGACTTAAAGAGACCCGGGAAACCTCTTGAAGAAACTGAATTCTGGGAGGTGTGACTGTGCAGCCTCTGCTGCGCGACCACATGGGACACCTGTGTGGATTTGAATGCTATGGCATTCTGGGACCCCCCGAGACAGCTGGGCCGATGAACAGCTGCTATGGAAACAGGCTTGTGCTCATTCCCTCCGTCATTCACACTTCATGGATGAGACACCGAGGTGTGGTGAGTGAAGAGCAACACCTGAAAGGATCATCTTTAGCTTCACAGCATGAGAAGTCCTGAAAGTATAACCAGCTGTCTGTTACCTTATTTATAAATGTATTAAAAAAAAAAAGCAAGGAATTCACCAAAGGTCATTAATGCTGCAATGTGGTATCATCCAGTTTATCTTTATAAAAGTTATACAGAAAGTTTTCTTTTTGTTTCTTAGCAAGAACTGAAGAAATCATTAGGGTTTAAAATGGTGGCGTTTCTCCTTCGCAGCTCTGGTCATCCCAGTGGTGTCTAGGTTTATTTTTAGCATGGCTTTCTCTGTGCACTAAGTGCCTGCTGTTTTGGGTCTCTAATTTAGGGACAGATGTGAGAGTGCAAACATTAAGAAGGATTAAGAATGTTAAAACATGTAATCATCAGCACCTGCGAGCTTCTAGGATATGAATTACATCTTTGAATTATTTCTATATTTAAGAATTTGGGTTGAACAAAGTAACAAAACAAGGGAAGGATATATCCTGCAATGAATGTCTCATTTTCTCTGGACACATAAATTACATGCTGTAATACCGTGACCTGCGATTCATGCAACACTTATCGCATGCATCTTGCTTATTGTACAATACATGCACAACAGGAGGGTGACATTGTTTAAGTCACTTAACAGTAATTCCAAGGCAAGTATGCATTCTACCAGTACATGCTGAGTGTCGGAGTCAAATATGCCCCCACATGAAACACAAAATCTGCCAACAACATCCTCTGCTCATCCCGGGAGAAATGAGAGCTCACAGACAGGTTCTGCAATCTAACAGGCACCAAAGTTATTAAATACACAGAGGACATATCCCACAATGTTGTTACAGACACTTTCATTCTTTCGTTATTACTATTTTCTTATTTCTTCACAAATCACCATTCGTGAAGAAACTTTATTCATGATTGGAATAAAGTAGTAAAAGCGCATCTTGGTGTGAAAAAATCCTGGACCTGGAACTTTCTGAAATGTCTTGTGTGTTTAAAATTGGTAAACAAGCTTAGCTATGACACTTTAAACATGTCTAGCTAAGGAAGAGAGAGGGAAAGCATGGAATCAAGCATAATGGATAACCCTAACATAATAAAGAAACTCATTCTTAACATGTAACCAATAAACCACCTCCACAAATACAGCACATCTGTTGGAATAAAACAAACATCTGATTTACACTGCTAGATTGACACCTTTATGTTTAGAAGGACTCTATATTTCTTAAATAGAAACATGCAATAAGGTTTGCATGTCACATTTATAAAAACTGGTTCTTTTAGTTATCAACTGCATTGACATTTTTCCCCTAACACTCAATCTGGATTAATATTTAACAATTTCATCTTGACCGGCTCCTGATGGTCTGATATTATCTTAGAAAAATGGGGCATTTGGACTTAACTGTCATCAAATAGACCCATTTCAGGACAAATTGTACAGTTTATTAAAATGCACGGTTTATATCAATGTAAGACACAAAACAGTATCCTACCTTGGAAATTGTTAAATATTTTCATTCCTTTGCATTGAGAGTGGATTTGTGTGTGTGACTAACATATCACATTGCAATTTGGATGTTTTACAGAATTCCATGATGGTAATAATAAGCAAAGAAAATCATGGGTCATGAAGTATAGGTGAGGTTTAGGTCAAGAAATATTATCGTTATCTGTAGGGTGAAGGCAGAACATAACTGCTGATATTAATTTTGATTACTGTAACTTCAGAAAAGTCTTTGACACAGCTATGATACAAAAATATGAACTACAATGGCATTTTGGAACAGCAGAAAATGCCATGGTGTTTTCTCCATTTTGTATGTTGTAGTAAATGTATTAAGACAGCACTTCTCCAATAGCACACTATGCTTTAGGAAGGTTTCATCACTGATATGCAACCATGCCTTTGACTGCCCACAGGGTCAGGTGGTTGTTGGTATTCACTGACAGCCAAACAGCCAATGTTGGTGAATACAATGACAGTCAGTGTATTCACTGACAGCCCTTAGCATCATTATAAGAGACCAAGTAAAAACTGGACAAAAACCCATAATGGCCCATCAAAGATCCTCGCCTTAACTTTTAACACAGAAATGATCGGATGTGAAAGAAACAAACGCCATAAGACAGGTCTCCAGCCCAAGCCTTCCTGGAGTCACAGAGAGAATGATGTGGCCAGTAATCTACACTACAGAGCTCTTTCTGCCAAGAGCTTCTACCATAGAACAGAGGCAAATGCATTCCTTCTATCACTGTGTGTATATATTTAATATAATACATCATTATATACTGTATATGTATGAGAAAAGCAGGAAGCAATACTATGAACCATGATTTTAGGCCGTGACTTCTTGCCAGGCCCTGAATCAACACTGGCTCCCCCTGCACCTCTGACCAGCAGTTTGACAAGGCTGTGCTGACTGTGTCACCTCACGCGCTCCGCCATTCCACTTGGTGCTCACCAGCGGAGAAGATCAAGGCGGGAACCAGTCCCTTCAGGCACAGACAAGGAACAATGGCTTGAGCCGTTTTGTTTCAGCCTTTTGATTCTTGAGGTTGATCGGAGCGTGCAGCAAGCCAGGTAGAAACAGCTAACGTTTTAAGTTTTGTCAGTAATTCCCGAGATCTCTCTCAATCCCAGCAGACAAAGAAGGTCGTCTGTCTGGTAATGCGTGAACGCACAATCAGTGACAAGCGCGTGTAGGTTTTTTTGTTGTGTGTTTGCTTAAATGCCCCTTCAGAATCCAGATTTGGCCACATTGCACACTACTTATTAACACATTATACCCCTACAACACTTCCGATATGTTTTTTTTTTTTACTGTTTTAAGAAAGACGTTAAGTATGAAAAGTTGTTGGTTGGTTTTAGTTCCTGGGTCACAGATTTTTTTGCCCATCAGCTCCACGTGTGTGTGAGTGTTCTGCGTTCCTGCCCGCTCCTCTCCGGCCTGACTTCATACCACGCTCTGTATGGAGGGGTGGATGAACTGGGTGTTGATGTACGAGAAGCCCTCGAACTCGGCCTGGTCGATGTTGGCGATGACCAGCTGGTCCGGGGGGGTCAGCATGGGCTGCGTGCGCGTGAAGAACTTGTCGAAGTTCTCTGCCCCCTTGCCACACTGTCAGGAAAGGAAGGAGACAAAACAGAGAGCACGTCAGAGAGCCGGAACTCGCAATCGGCAAGGCCAGCGCTGAAGCACCGCTGTGGTTTTTTCCCCACATGGCCCACATATTAAAAAATAAACCATATTAAGGACCAGCCAACTTGCACGGCACAGCGTGGAAGCTGCAGAGCGGCCCACACTGCAGGGCAACCCAGCACGAGAGCAATAACCCCAGCAGCTTGGAAATCCCACTCACAGTTGGCCGGAGGCATGACTCACACCCCAACTGGACTACAGGGCTCAGGCTGGGCCCCAAAGGCTGGAGGATGGGAAACCAGTCAACAGATCTCAGATCTCGCACAAGTACAACTTCACAGTTGTTTCTCCTCATCTACTGTACTACTGAGACGTGAGCTCACCAGTGTTTGTGATAGTCGCTGAAACATTAAGACCACATGTACACAATGTGAAAACCTCACAGATAAATTACTGTGTTGATAATTGTACATCTGCCTAAAAACTAGAAGCATTACATGTGCCAGGAAACTCATGAAACATGAAACATAAAAAAAACAAACTTTCCTTGAATTTTGCAAAAAATAAAAAATTTCTGGAGCGCATTTGGACTAGTTTATGTTGCAGCAGCACTAGTTTAAGTATCTCTGTCTCTTCTGGTTTTTGCTCCAGTAGAGCTCCTAAACACAGATTATGATCTGAGTTTTTCTGTCTGGCACATATTTGTACACTTTGCTTTCAGCTCTTAAAAGGTGAAGTTGGATTTATGATTTAGGTTTCAACCCAGTACAAGTTTTGGAGTTTCACCTCCCTCAGTGACCTCATTCTAGTGTGTTACCTGTAGTGTAGCCACTTAACTTCCACAGAATGAAACGATCTGCATGGTGGGTGTGTTTGACATGACCACACCTACTATGGGCGTGTCCAATGTGATGTCAATCCTGCAGTGGGTGTGTCCAATACATTGGTAGTTCCATAGTGGGCGTATCATAATACCACATGGGGGATTTGATTAGTGTGGCATTCCCAATGTGGGCGTGCCTGATGCCGAGCCACTCCCCATGAGGAAATACCTGATACCTATACGGTGATTACAGTGCAACCCCCACGTGTGTCTGTTCATCGTTAATTGAAAAACTCAGTAAGTCAACTGGGAAGCGGGTTGAGGAGAGGCTGTATAAAGTTCTCTTGCTGAAGTTATTGAAAATAATACTCTTGAAAATATTTTGATGTTCAGTTCCCATGAGGGAAACAAGTTAAATACAAGTCTGAACAGGGAAGCAGTTCAATTACATAATCAATTAGCACTGGAGATGTAGAACACAGTCAGAATGAAAACCTCTAAGACCAGGGTTGTGAACAATTGTCATAAAAATTGTGACCAATCCACCACTGAATACCACTACATTCTATATTATTTACCACTTTCCTTTTGTTAGGCCAAAAAGAACCCACACCATTTGTGAGGACACAAATGGAAACTAATGGGAAATGCATTTAAAACAGAGGCCAGGTTATGTGTCCTGAAGCTGGTACCTTGGCTTCTCTCGGGAAACAGCTGCTGGAGATCCTCAGATCATTTAGCTACTGATCTCAGATCAATTAAAAGGGCCTTCTCTCTTATGTTGAAGAAAAGTGCTCAAAAAAGCAATAATGTGTTTCTTCCTGTTTCGTTTATTAAATAAAACCAATTAAAGAAGTGCATAGAAAAAACATTGCAATCAATTCAACTGAGCTGTACTATACAGAATATAGATCAACAAAATATCCTTCTCAGTTCAGTTGCAACTTGTATGCTGTTAGCAGAGATGCTCCACTGTAACTGTCACAGGGAACACAGGTCAAAACCCTGATTAAAAGATGATCAGGGAGAAGGGAATATTCAGACCTAACCACGTCCAGGCTTCTGGTGATTGCATTTTAAACGCAGCCCCACAAAATCAATATGTGCCCTCTTCAGTTATCCCTCTTCCAAGTCAATCAATGTGTTGAGGACACCAACCCCCTGGGGCAAAGCACGCCCGCCCGCCTTCGTCATTAACACCTTCCAAGCACGTCTCGCCTCCGAGTCTTCCAGATATCCAAGCCTGGCATTTCCAGTGTCAACTACCAACAAACCCCCAGCGGCTGACATCTGAGTGCCTATAGGAACATCTTCAACACGTTTATAACAACAGGGACACGCGTGACGTGATTAAAGAGTGAAAAGAAGATTGGAATAAACCTGGTGCAGATGAAAACTGAGGAAATCATTAGCTTTTCTACTGTCCACCTACTGTACATTGTGCTTCTAATTGGAGATAAAATTAGCACTTGGGATCCCAGAGTAGCAGTACAAACTCACACTGTAAACTCACTCATGGAAACCCAAATTGATTTCTGTGTCTGGCTGCACATGATTGTGAGCTGGAAGCAGATTTTAAGGGTTGTTTGAAGGTCTTAGAAGCTTTAGCCCTGCTTCGGGATACCATCTGGGCGGAGATACCCTTTCTATCTACAGAGGTCTGGCTGTGCATGTGTCTGCTTCACAGCAATAGGAGGGGAAGCACCTGATTCTGTGCCTTTCAACACCCCAGGCAGCCTGGAGAGCTGTGCTGTGAGTCTGCATGCAGGAGGAGATTAATAGGAAAAACACAAAGCGCTGCTGAATCTTTTATCCCAGCGTACAAACTGCTCCAGCCCAAAGGAGACGTGCGGAGAGCCAGCCCTTTTATAGCGCTGTCAGGTGTCAGAAGATCCCCTTAAATTAAAAACTAGCATTTCAAGAAAGTTTTTTTTAAATATTTTTTTACGAATGCAAGACTAAAAAATGTTTTCATGTCAGGACAGTTTCTTTAACAAATTCACAGTTTACCACACCAGTGCCAAAAACACCTGCTGGCCTTACATGTCTATAGCATGCTGGATTTTTCCCCAAATCACATGGCAATATAGTGAGAGATAATTCCTTACACGTACTGTACATAGCGCTTTTCTGGACACTCCTCTCAGAGCACTTTAGAGGAAATGGGGATCCCCTCCATCACCACCAGCGTGCAGCCCCACCTGGATGATGCTCCAGTCCGCTCCCCACACACCAGCTCCCAGTGGGGAGGAGAGCAGAGTGAAGAAGCCAGTTCAGAGATGGGAGTACCTACAGTATCTTACAAGGTTCTAAAGTGAATTGAGAAACTAAAATATAAACTTCCTCTAATTGTGTCTCTTTTGCAATTTACCACTCTTTCCTTATGTGCTCATCTCTCTGACCACATGGGTCAGAGACTAGGGGAGGCCATATAGATCCAGTTGCTAAAACACTGTTTTGTTAGCACAAGTTTGTTTCGTTTTCCTACAAATTAATTATATCGTTATTTAAGATGCAAGATGATATGAAATTATATATGTATACAGTGTAAATATGTGGGTAGAGAATTTTTGTTTTTTAAAGGTAAGGTTTTAAAGGGAATGATATTATTTGGGGAAGATGATGAATGAGCACCAATGTGAGAAATTGCCTTGTAGTGACAGCCTCCGTTTCTGTGACGATCAGGCCTGACAGTCGGCTCCTGCTCATTGATCAGCAGAGACGAGCGTCTCGCAGGACAGTGAAGCAGCTCACAGAGCAGGAAGTGTGTTCTTGCTACTTCCTGTGCCCTCCGACCCGGGGCGCAGTGAGTAACGCCCCAGTTTGAGCACACACCCCGTCAGGAAATAACAGCTCAAAACTAATCGCAATTAGAGGGGAAGAGTGATCAGTCTCTGTTCAAGCCGTATACACCTTGTGTGTGAATCACACAGCTTCGCCCCAGGCGACTCTCCAGTTCCCTACAGGGAGGGCAAACCCAGCGACCCGGCAGAAGAAGGGTTAAAAACTCTCACCACCACCTGCACAGGGCTGACCAGCTCCCGGAACTCACAGGACTGCAGGTTCACTGCAAGACAGTCTCTGAGCTCATGTTAACTATCATCCACACTGGGAGTCTTAACAGATCCAGCCCCCGTACTAATTAGTGGATTTCCCTGACTTATTCTAAAAAGGAATTAGGGACAGATTGTTTGGTGCTAAGTAACATCAAAGTAAGAACTGTTAGGAGACATTACATAAACGTTTAATACCAAAAGTATCAAGATTAAGGCTAAAATGACATTTTTTTCATTATACCATGGCCACTCAAATACTCTTAATGTGAAAGGCCCAGTTCATACCCTGTCATACACAATATTTCTAGAAACATTCAGTAGCTTTTTACCTTATTTCTATATTATAGAATTCTAGTCTGCTATGCAAATAAAAATAATGCTAATTTGTCATGTGCAATTTTATGGATCAAATTAGTTATGAAAGGGTTTATTGGAGTCATATTAATATTACGTTGATGCTCCATAAAACACAAAACTACCGTAGATCTGTGACTGTGTCCTGATGTGCTCCTTTTACGGGGAAGTTAAAAACACCCCCCATGCAAATTACATTACGTCGACCCTGGAGAGAAGAAGGGTTTACGTTTTAATGCCAAGTACTTGTCTGCATCAGTCAGGTTGAGAAATAAAACATAACCTTTCTCTGTCCTGCCTTTTCTGAAGCCCAGCTCCAGCTGTCTGCTCTGTGGGTTACTGTCTGGAAAGCATTTTCTGGGAACGCAGTGTGGCTCGCGGTGAAGGCTGCCGTGCTGTGCCACGAGCGGACGTTCCCCAGGGGCGTGGGAGTAACAGGACGCGGCGTCATTATCTAGACGTGCTTCCCTTCATAGCCATGATCCGCATCTACGTACATCAGCACAGGGGAAAAACTGATGCTAGGTGGAGTCCTCCTTTAAAACCTCCACACTTCAACACTTTATTCTACGGGATAGCCAGGTTCGGGATTCACGCAGGGCTGTCCGACCTTGGGGCTCCTGAGAGCCCGGGGGCCGCTGTGTGCTCAGGGCTTCCAGGTCTCTTCAAAGCAGCAGCACCCGAAGAGCTGGGAGTTGCTGGCTCAAGTGAGGTGGTGAAAGGTGAGCTGGACTGAAACCTGCAGGTGCACTGACCCCTGGATTCAAGGTCCAGAGGTCACAGTGTCTGCGGCGCTCCGAGAGCTCCTGGAAGAGGAGGAGCTTCCTGCCACACGGCACACACAATCCCAGACTCCGTCAGGACCTGAACGATGAAACACACTACAAATGAGTGAGCTCTGGGCTTTCCTGACCACCTGCGAGTGTCTAAGCCCTGCATAAGGAGGAATATTCATGTTGCTCTTCGAGCGAGGGTGAAGATACTTCGGATGATTCTAAAATACTAATTTAAGAATCATAATAAGGCTTTTAGTCTCTTTGTGATCATTGTTGTTAATTTGTAATAAAATGGCATAACAATTATGCCACCCCCAAAAATGGCAGAGAGAGATGGGGTGTCAGATAAAAGCAGGGAAAGAGACCATACAGTACGTTTCTAATCACAGAGCATTTCCACACATTCAGCATCAAGAACATTTTCTTTGAAGGCTATAAACACCCCCCCAAGCCTTCAAATGAATGAATAGTGACTTACATTAAGTTTGATCCCATGGACTACAATTTATTGATTGCAGCTTTCATTTCTATTTAAATATTTGAAAACTAGCAATTTTAGGCTATATCTTTATGAATACAAGCCATGATGTATTTTTTTCCAGCACTCCAAATAAAAGTGGAAATTGTACAGCGTGCATTTGACTGATTTTAAGGTAGCTGAACACTATTTTTCTATACTACCATTCCAGGCTGTAGTGCTACTGTCTGTGTTTCCTGCATTACTTCACTGTAGCTCTGTGTATAATGACTTCCACCAGAGTGCAGGAATATGTGCCAGATACAGAAACAGCCCTACATAATTTAATATGATTTACGAAATGCAGAGGACGATCCTGAGGACATATTAAAACTAATCAGGAGAGGGCAGCTGAAATGAATTTGATTTCTTCTGGATTCCCACACACTCAGGAGCTGACACACTGATCTCCCAGTTGCTTGCCTCACTCTGCACATCATGCACACCCGCAACATATAATTAAAACTCTCCTTCAGTCATGTGTGGTCAGCAATGAGCTAGCATGAGGAAGACTGTGTCCGTTAATACTGTCGCCTCTGAGAAGGGTTAAGAGTGTCCTGACTTTCTGTACCTAGGCAGCCTGCTGTGGTTTCATAAATGCCTTTTGATTTTGGTGTTGCTGTTGTACTAATTTATCTTATTCATTTCTTAAGATTCCATTTGGCATCTCTGTGTTACCTGCTCCTATGTATTGATTGCAATCTCACACCAGTCATCGGTGCTAAAGTGGGTTTTAATGCAAGACCCTGTAGAATGAAAGATTAATTCAGCTGGGCTGCAGTAAATAAGGGAGGAATGATAATAGATTTTGAAGGAGAGCAAAGCTGACACAATGGTGACACATCTACTGCAGTGTAATAAAAGTCATAATAGCAATATTAATGCATCGTGAATGCCACAAAACAACTCTTCTACTTCGACACGGAGCACATGAATTTGTCCTATCTGTGTTCCAGTCTCTCTAGAGAATGGCAACTCTTCATGAGAGCACACAGGCACAAACTGTTTGCAGGAGTTCTTGCATTACCCTTCAGGATTCTGCAGACTCCAGTAGAAATAAAATTACTATTTATGGAACAGAGGATGCCATTAGGATGGTTTACAAAATGCATCTGCAAGGGAGCACAAAAAGAAAAAAGCCAAACTTTGTATTTTTTTCCTTACAGAGTGACAAGGCACCTTTATCTGAACTCTGTGTTTTTCATGTTGAACGTCTTGAAAATTCTCATGAAAAACCGTAAACTTTAGATTGCACCTCTGACAAGTTTAATTAAATTCACCTTTCTGCCCACAGAAGAGGTCCAGATGGGGCTGGGACCTTTCAAAAATGAGTAAACCCTTAATGTGAGACACTCATCCAAAATCAAACAGAGAGGATTTTAGAGTCCAGGATTTCCAGAATATCAAAGCGATGCCAAATCTAAGGAGCTAAGATGAATACAGTTTACAGAGACTTACTTGGGCACTGTTGTCTATGGCAGACAACTGACCTTGTTTTTACTCAAAACCTTGACCTAGCCACTTATCAGAAATTACAGGGCTCTGTTAAGGAGCGGGAAGGATCCTCTGATGACTAAAAAGTTCCAATTTATTACTGGGTTGTTATTTTGCAATAAGGTCTGCATTGTGATACAATCTGATTAATGGTCTGAAAGCTGTAGCCCCGAGATGAAAGCCCAAGAAATAAGCAAAGATAATTACGATGATATATAAACAGCAACCCCACTGTGCCCACTGCTCCTTCCTCTGAGGGGCACTGCAGACAAGAGACCTCACTGAAGGACAACCACATGTTCTGCTTTCGGTTAATTATTTTTCTTTCTCCCAGTTTCCCTGTGCTGGCACATGATGCCAGCGCTAAAGTCCCCGTCAGGTGAGACCGGGCTCACACTAGGCATTCCAGAGGCCCCACTGGACAGAGCCAAAGCCCGGGCCATGCATGGGATCCGGAGAGGATTCACGGCAATCCTGCAACTCCTGCAATCCCTTCCAGCACACATTCCGGCTGCCCGTATGTTATGTTTGAAGGGTTGCATCTGCATATTCTCTGCATAGTGATCAGGCGGCTGCAGGGCTGCAGATATGACCTGCCTGCCCGCGAAAAGTTTCTGTGTGCATCTGTAGAAAATAAACTGGTTGAGTTCATATCAGCAACTTTAATGTGCCGAGGTGTTGTCTACACAACACTACGCACACTTTGATTTCTTTTTACCAGAAACAGCAGGTGCATTTCAAACCGAGGACCATGTCAACACAAGCAAAACATCACTGGTACTTTGAATAAAAAAGTTGTGGAAAGTTCTCCTTGTACATGAATGAGTGAACTACCTCATTGTTAGTGTGCCAGTGTACAGCGGCTTAGGAGCACACATTGGGCCTTTTAGTCAGTGTGATTAATGAGGTTGTACACCAACACAAAATCATTTCCACACTCTCCCTGCTGATTTAAATGCAAAGCCTACATGGAATGTCACTTTTATTTGGGATTAAAAATGGCAGCTAAATACACTGCTGTGGCAAAGCTAGCAATTCAATTCTAAACATAATTATCAAGCTTTCAAACTTTAAAAAAAAGACAACTGAGCATGGTATTTCTAAAATGATGTGTTGACTTTGTCTGTCTTTTCTCTTAAAAATGATAAATCTACTAGCTGTCATTTCTTTCCTAGACGGGGAGGTACAAAAAATAATTTTGTACCTTGAGCTGCCTACTTGTGTAAAACAAGAGAAGAAGCAACAGGGAATGACTTGAATTTTCCTGCTAACACTTTGAACATTGGTTCAGATTTAATTAATGTTTCTGCCTGGGGTGCGCTTATAAAGACACCTTTTTATTATTTCAGCCTTAGAAAGCAATAATAATTGAGCTTTGAATGCAAATGAAAACAATGATAATTAGAATGAAATTTCATTTAATGATTTCATGATTTTCTGAAGAAAAAACTGTTATTGTTTCAAGTAAAGGCACAGGGAACTTTCCTTCCTAGAACAATCAGAGCATTAGCACAACTAAAAATAATGAATGCGCTCATGAATATATTTTCTTTAGAATTTTTCAAATAGAAAATTAACCCCACAACAAAGTTCCTCCAGGTGAAGTGTTATGTTAATTCTGACCAGTTTGGGAACAGTAGCAGCACGTTTGGTCTTTCTCCTGCCCGGCTCTGTGCTGTACTCAGTGTTCTACTGCTGTGACAACATGTGCAACTTGCAGTCCTCTCCTGTGGCCCCTGGAGACCCAGTGACGACAGAAGGAGGAGAGAGTGAACTGCAAGAGCGAGGGACTGGAGCTCAGTCAAACTGTGCCTATTGCTGTGGGACATTTACACAGTGAAGCTGAAAGGAAGCAAATAATAATTGAAATACATGCATGCATACACATGTATTTAATATATTTATGATGTTGTAATTTAATATTTAATATATATATATGATTGTAAAAAAAAGGTTCTCTGGGAAGTACTGCTGTGTTGAGGCTAAGCATAAAAACTCTCGAGCAGGTAGATGAACCCTTGCCAGTAAATATCCTGTATAACACACTGCAGCTGCATTGTCAGGTGAGAGAATTTGGGGTGGAGACACTGTCTGGAAGCATCGAGGAGAGCTGTATTTGCAGCATTGCTTTTTTACGTACCACAATAAATCTATCGTGTCTATTAAACCCATAACACGAAAGGAAACATTATATGCAAATCATGGCGTTGCTTCTAATGATTTAATCCATTAATTGACCTACTAAATTACAATTAACTGAATTGCTACAGAAAGCCATTTTAATTTTATTTAAAGATAACAGGTTTGTTAGAGCTAACTAGACCTGCTTCATGTTTTTTTTTCTGTGGGGTCCTTTTCCCAGAGAGTGGGAAGGCTGGAGCTCTGCATGCAAACAGCATCATCAGCTACAAGAGATGTGAGGGGCTGATCCCAGAAGCTTGGAAGACGAGGGTGATGCCCAGCAGAGGAGAGCTGACGGCGGGGGGTACTTACCACTTTGGGCTTGAAGGGCGGCTGGATATCGCGGTTCTCCAGCCGGTCCCAGTCGATCCTGCGGAAGAAGGCGTGCTCCTTGATGTCTCGCTCGCCCTCTGGCCCGCAACCCAGCCTCTTGGAGGGGTGCTTGGTCATGAGCTGCAGAGGCAGACACACAGGCAGCAGGCTCAGGCACACGACCATACACGACACAGGTGCACGCGGCCTCACACCAACCCAGCGTCGCAGAAGGCCGACACCAGCAGCGTGCAGTCCGGTGTCAGGGGTGGGTCATGCAGAGCTCAAGTTCACATCATCTCACTGAACTCCCTCACTACCCCAGTGTCAATGAACAGCTTTGCTTTAATCAATGTCTTATCGGAAACACACAGGCTTTGAGGGCTGCAGCTGTTTTCTAGGGCTTCATTTAATCTTATTACAAACCTGTTGCTGCTGCAAATGGAAAACTGACCAGGAGACACAAAGGGATGTTAACAAAAAGTCTAAGGCCAAGACCGCTAGGACACTGGTTTCCACGAAGGATAGTGGAAGCTTAGAACAAGCATCCCAGTTACAGCGTGCAGCTGGAGGCAGATTCTCTGAACTCTTTCAAGAAACTCAGATCAGCCAACTACCAGTCATCTAACAAGCTTGCCAAACAGACTCATTTAACTTAATTCTGAATGTTCATATGGTTGATCATGTTTGACTAATTCACCGAAGACCTGAGCTACAGTACAGTAAAGGACATAAGCAGGGCCTAAGAAAGGTTACAATTACAAAGGAAGCAATTTGGCTCAGTAGGAGAAAATGGACTCAGGGATCTCATTCACAGTACAGGTAGCTGTTAGCTCTAGCTCATCTTCTGCGATCCAGTGGAATCAACTTTAATAATGTCGTTGGACAGTTTGTCTCAAGTCATTTAAATAGACGCATAAAACCTCCTGTGTCACATCTGCAGTTGATGTTTAGTGAAATGTGAGTATTCACCATGGATCACTCTATGTTATACTGTATGTTAATATGGTATGATATGAATTTAAAGGCTGTAGGAAGTGTTAATCTGAAATAATCCTGACGCATCCTGTCCATGCATTTCAATGAGGTCATTAAATGCTCATGCACCGTTCAAAATGGAATTATGATTCATTTATTACAGTTATTTTAAAGCATTACCCAATTCCCTGGCATGCCTCACAAAGGCTAGGTCTGATCAAATCCTGCTGTAGCATTTGTTGTAATTGGGAGCTACACAGCCTCCTGCGTGGCTTTGAATTCTTGCAGGGGAATGAATCAGTCACCCAGCAACTGCAAGACCAGAACTCGGACTTCTAAGAATGTAAAGTCCTATAAATAATTTAAGTGCTCGTATCCATGCATAAATATTAGAATTATGTGGTTAGAAAAAAGGTTAAGTAACGAGAGGTGCATTTCATGTAGGACTGGGGCATCGAAAGGCCTTGTTCAAATCACTTTAGTCAATTAAAGATTCCATTGTTTTCTTTGTATTGTAACATCCAGGGAACTTTTCAAATGGTAATCATATGCTTATTAAAAAAGTCAGATTGTTCTTTTGTGCAGGCACAAATTCCAAATACATTTATGTCTCAGATAAGAACCAGACAGTAGTGAAGAAACAGTGTCCAATTTAATTCAGGAAAAGAATGTGTCTATCATTATTGAATTCTCCATATCTATTTATAGATAAATAATTTGCTGCACTTTCTCCATTTCTAAGTAAAATAGAGATAACTTTCAAAAAGTGACTGACCTACTTTTTAAAGTAAGTCTTTTGCTCACCTGGAATTGTCATTGACTTGATTTGCCCTTTGAAACGTTTTACAATTACTTTTCTAAAGTGCTCTAAATTCCTGATTCGGAGAGGGAAAACTCACCACAGCCCAGACAGCAGCTACCACATCGACTTTATCACTTCAGCGCCGAGCAGTGAACCATGGTGATGGGACTCTCAGAAATATAAATCAGTCATTTTCTTTTTAACACAATGCTTGCTTCTGGGTCAAAGCCACACTATGTACTATATATTCATTAAAACGGAAAGACATCACTAATGTGTGACACCTGGAGCTCTGTGGCTTTTGCTTGATAATGCAAATGAATACAGATGAGCCTGCCTCTCTCATTTCCGCCCGACTATGAATGGCAACACAGCCAAAGACGTCCACATTCAACATGAACAGAATGTAAACATTCTGGGACTCATGGGGTCCGCAGGAAACGTCTGTTTCGCCTCTCTCCACTCCCCAGCCTGCAGACACAGCTCGCAATACCCTCCAAAATAAAACCCTGCCCTTCCTGGGCAAGAACTGCAAAAAAAGGCTTAATATCAAGCAGAAATGCTTGTTCATCATGACAGGTTTAAGGGGAAAAAATCAAATTTTAATTTTGAAAAGCCAATAGGACCACGAGTAGTAGCAAAATAGTAGATAAAAATGTTTTTGAATATTATAATATACGTTCTTGTACAGAACCTGGTGCATATGAAGATATGACTGCAATATTATTAAAATACCATAAATACATTCCAGTGATGGTATCTATGTGAAATTGCACTGCTGAATGTTTCATTCAAAATCTAATAAATAATAAATAGATCTCTTTGCATGAGAGGTATTCCAGGATAAACTTCCACAAACTCCAGCAGAAAATGCTTCAGTCGTACAGCATATGCATTAAAAAAATATTTTGCTTTTCAGGAAAATTAAATAGCCTATGAATATCACAATAAGTCCAAAGCAATACCTGTCATTACAGGCAGCATGTCTATCTGTCACATTAGAATCCTGATAGCAATTTAATTCGCTTGGTGTCTGTAACTCCTTGCAGAAATAATGCAGAATTGCTTGATGTTCAGCTCTGAACAGCAGCTAATGTATAGTGACAGACAGGTTCCATATATTATCTGTCCTGCACAAGCCCTGAGTATCTACACAGTCCAGCAGCAACAGGGTCAAGAGTCCTGTGGCCCTACAGGATACACAGAACGGGTCTGCTTAAATGACCACCTGCTTAAAAACAAGTGGAATGCAACACTCCATCTGTTCGCAATTACTGGACAAAGACAACAGCCGACTCTCGCCAATCTCCTCTCACTAGGGTGGACATACTGGACTGCAGTATTCCCTCCCAGCACACTTTGCTGACGCGCCCTGCTCCGTTGTTCGGCTCAGTTTAGGGGGAGGGCCCAAGTGGGCTAAAGACAACTGCGATTTTTTTGATAGCGTACGAGTGGGGAGCTGCGTCAGCATGCACCGGCTGTGCAGAAACGAGTAAAGGTTCAAATAGAAAGGAGAAACACAACATTTTGTCCAACACCTAAAGAAGGCTCCACAGCCGAAACATGGAGTTTTTCACCATTGGCATTAATATTTACTTCTTCCTCTGCAATTTTTTTAATCCTCATTTCATTTAACGTCAAACCATTACACATGGGGCCATTGTCTGTCCCTCCTGAAATGAAGCACTAGAGAAAACCACAAATGGCACAATGCCTGCTGCCCTCAAGAACAACCCCATGGAGACAGTGTCCATCTGGGGCAAGCATGCTGGGGACATGATACCACCCTGTTCTTGCAAATCACCTTCCCCTTCAGAAACCCAGCTCTGCCACTGGTCTTGCAATTGCCCAGCTCAGGCTTGTGGACAGGCCTCTCTCAGCTCAGAGATCCAGAAATCCTGCCTTTTTAGTTCTGAGCTTCTGTTTTGCAGCAGTTTATTTTTTCCTGCAACTGGTCTGTCTGTCAAAACCAAAATCAGCTTCAGTCTTTCATTAGTGTGTACTGCCACAGGAAATCCCCGCTCTGAGTAGAAAGTGCCAAATTAAAGCTGAGTCTTTGCGTTTCTGACAGGTGTACTGGCAGCTGCTGGCACACGGGGGCACACCTGAGCCCCAGTGCAGCCCCAGCCCTGGGAGAGCAAAGGTCAATCACTTAGGGAGGTGCCTGCATTCACTGCTCCTCCGACGAGCAGCCCCACTGGTAACAAGGTGATTTTTAAACACCCTGTCGTTCTTGTAAAATTACTACAGAGACATGAATCAGTGCATCTGACAGCTCTGACAGTTACACATCTATCTGACTCCCAGGTTCGGCACACAGCCAGCCATTAAAAGCCTTCTGCCTGCTGTCTTCATCACCCTGTCCCTGAAGGTACGTAATACATTTCAGAGAGATAAATTCCAGGTGCTCCTTTGCAGTCGCCGGGCAACAGTTTCATTAATACAGCAGCGTCAAACACTGACGCAAAACACAACATGTAATGCAAAAGAATTACATGATGACATCTGTTTTTCTATGAGCTCAAACAAATTTCTATTGATCCATACACAACACAATGAGCTTGAATGCAACGTTTGAGTCAGAGGAGGATTTAGATGCTGAGAGACATGTCAAGGCTGGAATGTAGGTGTATACTGTACATTTTTAGTGCTTCTTTTTAGACAGCTTGCACACAACTGCTGCTGACCCTTTTAAGCAGGTTTGAGATTTTTATGTGTGTGAGAAAGCACAGAAGACAGTATGGATTTTTAGAGGGAGTGAGGATATGTGTGAGATTAGAAGCCAATCATCTTTTGACATACAGTAAATGGCTTGGCAAGTTGAGGTCTGAGCCCGGGCGTTAAAAAATATATACTACAGCAACACCAAAAATAAACCTACAACTTTCCATGAAGGAAAATGAAATGAGTTCTCACGGTGTTTAAATATTCAAAGCTGGGAAACGTCAGTGCATGTGGAATGAATAAAGACTCAGACTGACATTGCAGTTAAGGTAACAGCACTTAGACCCATCATCTCCCTCCTTCTAGATGAAGCAAAATGAGAGTAAGAAGGTGATCCACGAAGGAAAGAGATCTTTCCTCCTTTTATCTGCCAGTGATCTCACTCACAGTGCCTAGTTCCTACGAGCAGAGCGGATTTAATTAGTTTCACTTTCAAACAGCTGTGGGCTCAGATGCAGGAAAGCGCAAATACTGTACTTTATTAACTTTATTTTCATCACCTGTTCATTTTGGCCTGTACGCATTGATTTAAAATCAGAATCCCCAAATTTCGAGCCCGAAGAACTGGCTCAGACACATAGAAGGTTGCAGTTAAAACCTGGACTGGCTCCACTGGCTATGCTATGCAATGGGAGTCTGATATCTAACCCAGGTGTGTCCATACATCCTACACTGAGACTTCCTCCCATGCTCCTGATGGTGCCAATAGCATGATCATTTTCAGCAAAATTCTGACATTTTGCTTTTCCACAAAACTTACTCGCTGTTTGAAATATGCTTTCATGAGCCTGGTGGTAACAGACAGAGTGACAGAGCCCGTGTGTCCCAGGGGAGCAGACCGGAGACTTACACCCTTGCAGATAGACACCGCCTCCTTGGACAGGGACTTCGGATAAGACACGTTGTGCTCCATGATGGACTGGAAGAGCTCGTCTTCGTCTTCTCCATCGAAAGGGGGCTAAAACAAAAGAGCAAAATAGAATATTGGAGATCGTAAAAAACCTAGCATTTAAACGCCACCTGCAATATGACCACAAGATTAAAATGTAAGAAAATGAATCGCTCTTGGCTTACGCCTTATGGCCTTACGCAGAGGTGAGCAACAGAGCTTGTGGATGTTGCTGTTGTCCACAAACCGTGGTTAAAGTCAGAATCATGTTTGCTGTGTCACAGGAACAGTCGAAGTGAACTGTCGTACTATCAACATTACAGCACATTAACAGTGTTGAGGTTGACAAAGGCTGTGCAACCAAGTGTGAAAGAATAACTGTTGCACTCAGTCTCTCCCTGTCCGAGTCTTTGAAATCTGCTTTCAGAGACCGTTCGGTCAATATGGATGCCCATCAGGCCCAGATGGGAATCTTCCCTTGGATCTATGTTGCTTTCTGGGGTGATTTCAAGCTGTCTTCACTTTCCTTCTGCCCCTCTCAGCTCCGACTAACTCTGGCTTGGTGCTGAATCCGACGAGAATACGCGCGCACACGGGTACTATTCGCTCTTCACAAAACTTACTTTCAGCCCCAGTTCAGTGCCTTTTATTAAATTCGAAATTTCAAAAGCGGGGAACATACTGTAAGAGCAAGCTGAGGACGACTCCTCCATGTTTCCAGTCGAAAGAAACGAGCATCACACAGCTGCGAAAGGGGCACGGCAAGCATACGGGTGCTCCCAAAACACAGACAAGAAAATGTTCATGATGTTCTCTAGGCCTGAGGGGCTACCTTCATGCAGGATTGTTAACCAGGAAGCAGGCAGACTCCATAAAGAAAACTGAAGTGGAAAATTTCATGATTAGGATTTTGGTCTGAATTAATTAGACCAAATGTTGGCCAGGAAAATGTGTTCATCAGTATTTGAAGTAGAGACAGGTGCTAAAGCCTGAACCAGAAAAGCTAACAAGTTCATCCCTTTGTTTTGTCCCAGTCCAGCCGATTATGCACTGGGTGCACAGACAACCTCTCCCCCCAGGGGGCGCCATAGGTATGGACTGCAGAACCACAGCGTAAGTTACTGAGAGCAGCAGTGATAGCCCTTTCGTGAATTGAATTAGACCTGACCCATCTCCAAAACAGATAAAAAAAAAGGCAAACAATGGATCCTTCAGGACAGCATTCCTGTCTCAGAGGCTGCAGTGTTGCTTTAAATGTGGCAGGGTGGCTGATTCCACGAAGCAGGCAGTGCTGAGGGGAGTGAAATCCCTGTCATGTGTCAAGCCAGCAAGCCCACACCGCTCTCAGGAGTAACTGCTAGTGCCTTCTGACATGGTTAACGAGGCTCAGTAACTATTTTGAGCCAGGCACGTTCAGAAAAACAGCCACAGGAGCATGCAAAATAGCTGCCACTTTAAATTCACGTGCTTGCATATGCTGAAATAAGACAAGTGGAACTAATAACCGAGATTCACGGAAGCCATGGGGCCAAAATGCATATTCTACTGCAGTCTGAACGGGATTTGGAAATGGGTACCCAAGAGCAGACAGCCACACTGGTGGATCAGATCCCAGTGGCTCCGTGGGGCTGGGTGTGGTCAGTACTGGGACAGGGGACATCTGAAGAAAATCAGGTTGCTGCTGGTGTTGGTCAACCACTAGGTGACCATCTTCCCGTGCATCATCTAGGCAGGAGACTCAGTGCTGGATGCAGTGGGTCTCCTTATATACATTCACAGTAGAAAGCAATTTGGCATCCTTTGGGATTAAAGGTGCTACAGAAATGCACTGAATTATCATCTTATTAAGATAAACAAAATGCTTATTCTTCTTATTCTACATTTTAAACAAAGCCAGGAGTGGAAAAAGAAAAATCTCACCTAGCAGCCTGCACCGATATTGCGGTGCACCAAGGTCATTCCTTCACTCACACAGTGTGCTGCATATGCGTGAAGATAAAAGCCTGACCTCCGCACTCGAAATTACCAAGAAACATCAAGAGAAAGACTAATGAAGTAGCCATGGAAAAGAATAACAGAAGGAAAGAAACAGAGGCAGCGAGTCAGAAAGGACACTGAAACATGAGCTTCTCAGCAACAAAGCAGGGCGAGATAAGAAATGTGTTTTTCCTCTGTGTGTCTGACAGGAGGAGGTCGCAGTCCTTTCCATCACTGTACCGGCTTCACGATGAGAGCTCCTTGGGCTTAAGCCATTACTGCCCTCTCTCTCCATTCACTTCATATGATAAAAGAAAGTCTGCTGACACAAAAACTCCAAGCCACAGAAGCCTCCTGCTTCTCCTGGAGCACTGACAACATCCTATATAAAGCTGAACAAATGCCTTCCTTACCAGAGGCACTTTACGACCAGAATGATCAAATACGTCTTTGTTAAGTGTAACAAAAAGGACAATAAGTTATACAGAAGCACACAAAAGATTATTCTGTTTTGCCTGTAAAATGAATCTATTTACATATATACTGTGTGCGACCTCTCCCAAAACCCAACACTTCAAGGCTGCGTCTGTGAAGGAAATTAAGAAGAAAGACTCTCTTTAAGGCTCTCTCACGTTCATTGAGACTCATAAATGAAAAGTAAGAACTAAATCTTTGTGAGCCGGTGTGTTTTGAAGAGCAGGTCAGTACAGTATGGGCACATTTGAAGCAATGTTTACTAACCTCAGTACCTGTCCGAACTATTATCGCCCTACTCCCCACCTCGCAACCTTCACTCTTCTAACTCTGGTCTCCTTACTGTCCTCCAAGCCCGTCTACATTGTATGGGTGACAGGGCCTTCTCCTGTTATGCCCCCAAGCTCTGGAAGTCTCTCCCAAGGATATCAGCGATTTACCTTCTATAAACTCCTTCAAATCCAGACTCAAAACCTTCTTCTTTAGAAGAGTCTTTACTAAACTGGTTCCATTCTTCACCCCTCTGCTCCTACTGTATTTAGTACCACCATCCATGGTCTCCTCTGTGTATTGTAATTGTGTTTTATCTTGTGTATTCTTTATTTATTGCTGTTGTCATTCTGTAAAACGCTTTGAGAAGCCACTTATAAAGGTGCCATATAAAATAAAGTTTATTATTATAAGTCTTCACGTATCAGTGCCCTTCTGTATCTAGAGTATAAACTGTTCCTTTTCATCCAGCTGGTCGGCCTCGTCAGTGAATCCATTCGGCTCCCTGGAGCCAAACGATTTCTGCAGGCCATCAGATAATGGCCAAGCCATGGCCTCTATGGATGCTAAAAAAACAACTCAGCAGTGGTGGAGGGATGGAGGCACTCGGGTCGATACCGGACCTGCTGGAGCTGGGGGGGGATTCCCGGGCCTCTGCCGCAGACCGGCGCTGCCTCTCAGAACCCGAGGGGCGAACCGTGAGGGGAGGGGGGGTGACCCCTTCAGCGGTCCCCTGCTGGGGGTATTCCGTTTTCACGGAACGTCAACGACCCCGAGTTTGAATGGTCATTTTTTTGTCCTGATAATATAAGGCTGCTTCGTCATCATCATCATCGTCGTCGTCGTCAAATCATCCAAAAGGAAAGGTTGCAGTCGAGTTCGGACCTCACCTGCCCAGCCAGCATCTCGTACAGCAGCACGCCGTAGGCCCACCAGTCCACTGACCTCCCGTAGGGCTGGTATGCGATGATCTGGGGGAGGAGCGGAGAAACACTGTCACTTCACTGCGTTTTTCAGACGCAACCTATCACGAATTAAAAGAGCAATGTAAAACAACCTGAACCCTGTCTTCTCCATCAGCCCCACCCCTCCACTGTATGTAGTTTTGGCAGGGCGTGGAGGTCTTAGACCAGAACGATTTCCTTTGCATATTTTCAGTGCTGTTTCTGCTGATAATTCCTGGATTGGTTAAGACTGGCTGTTCAACATTTCTTAAGAAAGTTACTTTGACCTGAAATTCAGGTCAAACAGAGCACACAGACAGTGTAACATCTGCTGCACACAAAAATAATGAAGCCAGAATCCATTTGCAACTCTTAGCCTCAAAGTGATCTCGAGGCGGCAGTTTGATGTTTCATACTGAAATTGCAGATGGAGGGCATCTTTAAATAATTGGTACATTTTGGAAATGTGAAATTGACTACAAGTACAAAAAAGTCAAAATAATACAGGCTGTGCCAGTCTGAGTCAGACACAGATCTGCACAGCCGGGCAAGCTGGGCTCTGGCGGTCCTCAGACATGTGGTGGTTAACAAAACCATCTATTAAAGGTTGATATGTAACTAAGGAGTAGAATTGCACACTTTATGTCACCCTGTGAGAAACTCTACATTTCTGTATCAGGAAGACTGATGTCAAACAGTCCTGTTTGACAGAGTCATAAAATGTAAAGCATAAAGCATCAGGCCACAGACTGTATTACTGAGTCATGAGGGACAAACAGGGGAGTCTGCCATCTGCCCACTACTGTGCAACTCACAGATTATCATGGCACACCCAGCTAACAGGATTCCCTCAGTCAGGGGTTCATGGCTGTGACATTTATTAACAGCAAGAGAGTATTAGACTTGTAAATTATTCAATCACGTTCACATAATCACTCCGAAGTGTTAATTATAAATCCCCTTACTGCTCTCCAAGGACCTAGCATAATTACAAAGCGTGACTGGACCCATATCTTCCCGCTCATTGGAAACATTTGTGACAAATTCAGTTGATTAGGGGATCCCTAGTGTCTCAGCCAGTCACGGCCTGCATGTGTGGTTGAAATGACATCATCAGATGGAGTCTGGATGACATCATCAGATGGAGTCCAGGTTGTGACCTCTATCTCAGGGGAGAAGCACGATGGAGGAGGACCTGCTTCAGATGGACAGGTCACCTGCAGTGGGCATGTGCAGCTCGCCAGGCAGGTAAGAGCTGGCCCTTCACTCCCTGCAGGTACTGACCACACGAAGTGTGCAAACACCGCAGTGGCAAGGCGAGCTGATTCTGGTGCAGCTGGGTTAATTACAGGATTTGGTTTCACATTTTTAAACCCAAAAGGAAGCCCTTCTGGGAGGGGTGGGTCCCCCAGAAAACACACTACCATCTAGGGGGACAGCTCCCCATGGAAGAGACTCCAGGTTTCCAGTGAGATAAAAGTTTGCTTTGCTCCGCCGACGACAGGCGTAAGCAGTGATGCTGCACGGGGCTGCAGCGCCACATCAAGATTCACCCTCTCCTGCTCGTCAGCAGTTCACTACTGAACTCCAGCATCTCCCTTTCCAGCCTCAAAATAGAAAGGAGTCCTGTAGGTGTGTAACATCAGGGCTGGAATAACCTAATTAAAGAATCTGGTCATTCTTTCCGGGCGTTAAAGTATTTCCTTTACCGTGCAGTTTGAGTATGAACTTAATGAATTTCATCTTTATTACAACACAAATACACTCAGAAACCAACAGCCATGTTTAGAGACCTCTCTAAGAAGAGTGGCATTGCAAGTGACCAATCCCAGCTAATTTATATAATATATACATTTATATTTATTTATATATTATAATAATAATAAGAAGAAGAAGAAGAAGAAAGAAGACTAAGAAAACACTGGGTTTAGTGGGGCTGCTGAGCTAATTATGATCTTAATCCTTGTTGTCGTCTGCTCTGATTCTGCCAACACAGTTTTCAGATTAAAAACAGAGGTGAAAATCTGGGAAATATGTTACATTAACCTGCTAACTTGCTTACTGGGCACAAAGAAGCTGCCACACTCTGTGTTTGTGCACAGCATTGAACTGGGACACTCCTATTGGACAGTCTGGTTTACTGAGCCAGAGAAGAACTCCACAGATATTTGATTGCTGGGGACACATCTGATTCATGAGATATTAGCAGGGGCTGCAGGGATGAGAAAAGTCAGACCAAAGTTTATTAAATCAATGAGATGATCCTGAGTGCAGCTGATTTGGTGAACCAGGGCCAAATACTCTGGAGGAGTGATTTCTTTGTACTTTTCAGATAGACTGCATACAAGATGTTCCCACGTGATGCAAAACATCCTCAAAAGCTGCAGCATTCATTCAAAGAGAAGCTGTAGCATCTCCAGGCCTAATAAAAAGAAGCCAACAGTGACTAGAAAAATATAATTTGAAACACCTTCCCATAGGAAATAAGAACAGAACCTGCTAAGCAGAATAATAAGCCCACAAGTCTTTTGAGTAAAAAGAATTATGCAATGGACACTGCAGCCTTTGTAACAAAAATGCTATATATTAAAGACATTTTACCAAAGATAAAGTGTAAGCAATAGGCAATATATACAGTATTTTTTATGTCATTTGCAATATACTGTAGTTGAAAATCCATTGTCCATCTAATATGTCTGAATTAGAAGAATGAAAATTACGAATACTGAAATAGATGCTTACAGTAGGTCATATCACTAATTTTTTACTATTTAACTATTTGCAGAAATCTATCATTTATTCTTAAAATACAGATTTGCCAGCAGGTATGTATTTGTTGTACTAATCAAAAAGCAAACAACTTCCACTCCTACCACACATGAATTATTACCAACACCAATTTATTAACTACACAGTTTTTCATAAAAGCATTCTGTCCACCTCTCAGTACAGACAGAAGGACGGGTGAGCCCACTGCAGATCAGGACGAGAACACTGGACCCTGCGCTTCCTAAACACACCCTTATCTCAGACCCAGCTCAGCCCTCGGAGTCCAAGCAGCTCACTGCAGGAGAACCACTCCTGTGATGGAGGCAGCAGCAGCAACAATCCACACAAACCAAACAAGAACCAATTTCTAAAAGGCCTCCAATCTGTTCACCGCTTTTAAACAAATTGATGGTTCAGAACAAATCGCACATGAGCTTTCCCGGCAAACAAGAAGGATGCACAAAAGACTCAGAATAATACCCTGACGGTCTGAAAGGCACCATCCCGACTGATTGTGAGCTCTCAATGAGTGACTGTTTTCAGACTTCAGTCTGCGTTTTTTCAGCTGTCATGTTTTTAATTTTGGAAGTAGTTCCCCCCCCGACCATCACCACCAACAGTGCGGTATGTCCGCATTTCGGAAATCTACTAGACAATGAGAAGACTATGAAAACCCAATGCACGTTTTCAAAATCCACAGAGGCACTGACAAGGTCACGGCAGCAGGCTTCTGCAGATTCAGCTGAGACACATGGACACCTACTGTATGTAGCCATCAGCCACATCACCCTGCAACTCACAGCTGGCAGCCCACTGAAGCCCAGCAAGTGTGAGTCTGTCCAGTACCTGGATGGGAGACTCCTGGGAAAAACTAAGGGTGCTGCTGGAAGCGGTGTTAGTGGGGCCAGTAGGGGGCGCTCACCCTGCAGTCTGTGTGAGTCCTAATGCCCCAGTATGGTGACAGAGACACTATACTGTGAAAAGGTGCCATCCTTCAGATGAGATGTTAAATTTAAGGTCCTGACTCTCTGTGATCATTAAAAATCCCCGGGTTTATCTCTAAAGGAGTAGGGGCATTACCCTGGTGTCCTGGCCAAATGGCTTTACCATTCATGGCCTCCTCATAATCCCCATCTCTGAACTGGCTTCATCACTCTGCTCTCCTCCCCACTGATGGTGGTACTGGAGTACTGGCACGCAGGGCTGCATACAGGGGATGGTGGAGGGGATCCCCATTACCTGTAAAGCACTTTGAGAGGAGTGTCCAGAAAAGTGCTACATACAGTAAGTGTAAGGAATTGTTATTATTACTGCGCAGATCACAAACAGTTATGGAGGACAAGACATGCTGCACTGCATAGGGGCCACAGGGAAAGGGGAATCTGTGGCTCATCTACTGGGCACAAAAACAACGATCTAATTATCAGTTAATCCTCTCGGCAAAACTGACAGCACGTTCAGGGGTCAGGAACTCCGCTCTTTTCACTTGTTTCCTGTCATTTTATTTGTTATATACTGTTCAGTAATGTACTGTGCACACTGTGCGGCGCTGTCTATCGTACTGTCCACGTCCCAGGAGAACAGTGTGAATAAGAATCCCAATGTGTATGACATATGGCAGGTAAACTCCTCTCTCCGATTCATCAAGGATCTGGGCTGAAACTTTGGGCACTTCGGCTGAAAACTCTGTATGAAATCCTGAATACATTATAATAATAGTATAAAAGAGAACAAGTAGGAATGTAAGAGAATAACTTATTATTACTGTAGTTTATACAATTAGTAGACTACAAGGAACTGCTACATTTCAATTCTACTCCCCTGCCATTCAAACCATATGAAATCACAATGACGCAGAACAAAAAAAATCTAATGAAATACTGTACGTCACAAAACGAAACGAACACAATGTAATCCCAGAGAGCCTGATCTCCTCTGGGACTGAAGTGTATTATTTCAGGACTACGGCACAGCTGCGGAGAAATGGAGAAATTAAAATCCAGATTGCTAAGTGAGTCACTTCCGAATACCAGATCAGAGAGTTTCAGAATGCAAAGGCAGCAAAGGCACAGTGACACAATCCCTTGTTTCTACATGAAATAAATAGATAATGGTCAAAGGTCCTTAGGGGAAAAGCCTCTTTGCCTGCTCTGAACATTTTATTCTGCACAATATCCTGTATTCTGCCCCCCCCCCCCAAAAAAAAGTGTTCATTGAATCAGCACTAATCCGGGATGGGCCTCGCTGGCCGGAGGGCCGAGGTCAGCCCCAGTGAGACAGCGAGGTGGCAGCTGACCCCCAGGAAGAGGAGGCAGACGTGTGGGACTTAGGAAAGGCCTGATCGCGGACAAACAAATCCCACTTCAAACCTCCAGGACCCACGCTGGTACAGATCTGGCATGCACCCCCACGCACGAAGGAGAGAAGAGTGGGGCGCAGGCGGGGAGTTACTGCAGCGCCCCCAAAACACTGCAGGTGCTACATTTCCTGTGCCATATTGTGAAGCAGGGGCTGCTACAAAAAAAAGAAGCCAGAGAACAAAACACAAACTATCATTGTGGATTTCTGGGGAAAGAAAGAAATTCAGCTTATCCACGACCTGCAAAATACAAAACACGAAACACAAAATCCCCGTACTCGACAGCAGGTTCCCACTGAAGGGAAGCTAGTGAGCCTCCATCCAGAAGGGATTTGGGAATTTGGGGCTGAAGCGTGTATCGATCACGAGTCCAAGTAACGATGGCAGAGCAAGTGAAAGACAGACTAGGGAAAGATACAACTGATCTTTTTAGAAACTACTGTACATCAGACAACCGGACTTTGACATCCTCACGAAAACTCTCCAATTAACGAAGGGCTCTCCCGCCTGAATGAGCTGAAGGCTGTGTATTCACAGAGACGGAGTCACATACAGCTGCCTGCAGCTGTGCCTCACTGTACTTTAACTCATCTTTGTCTCTTGGAACTAAATTAAAGAAAACACTCTGACCCCTGAAGCTCTCCTTCCCTCACCTTTTTTCATTCCATTAGAAGAAATGACAGGAGTCAGCTTCTTATCTGACAGGCAGGCCACTCGGTCATACATGTACATGTTAGCAGCAGCAGAAGGCTCTCATTGGCCTAATGTGAAATGACAGTTCTGGATCATGCTTTCAGCCAGGAAGATGCCTCATGCTCTTCTTTTTGGATCTTAATTTAGACGCCTAATCAGGAAAGTAATTAAAGGCCGTGTAGGAGCTCAGCTGTGTAGGAACCGAATAAAGATGAGGGCAAGCCCAAAATCGAGGGCACACAACAACAAAATCCTTAATCACGTCTACAGCGTGTTTCTGGGATGACTGGGAGACTAAAAAAAACGCATTCGAAATGATCCGAGCTGAAGCTTTTCCCCCTGCTGCCTAGAGTGTAAGTAGAAAAGAAAGAGACGATCTTTCCACCGATCGGAATATCGATGCGCCATCTCGGTTCACGAGCGTGACAGGCACGCTTGGCCGAGACTCCGAGAGTCAAACGTACCGCCGTTCACCAGGGAAACCCGCGTGGACCAGCGGGGTGTTGTAGTGGAAGAGAGCTCCAGCGAAGATTTAATTTGTCCCACTGGATTTCCCATGCCTGCCTTCAGAGTGCCACGCTGCAAACTAAATTGACGCCCCCAAGCACTGTCAACAGGCGGTGAAGCAGCTCTTGCCTGCAGCAGGAGTTTCCAATATGCAAATGGAAGGCAAGACTCGTGGTGGAGACACAAGCTGCTCGCTAAGCTCTCCAACTCTCCCGGGGTTCTGCTGTGCTGATCCGAATACCCGTTAACAAGTGGATCAATCAAGCTGTCTCATTATTATTACACCTAATTATTTATCAAAACATTAAAACAAAGAACGTGTGTGCTTTACAATATTTTGTCTTATGGTAAAACTTCATTCAAAAATTATTAACCTATGCAAGCTCTTTATAAATAAATGCATTTAAACAACTGTTTGGTCCAACAAAAATTGCTTTTCTTAAAATGTCTTTAATTTTGCACCACTTTTAGTGTGTAACACACCGAAGCCTCAGGGTTAACTGCAGTACTTTTACTAATGATACCTGTGCTTCTTCTGAGTGGCTGTAAGGCCCAGACGCTCATACTCTCACCCAAAAGATTAAAGAATTTTTGGGAATTGTGAATCTTTCCGGCATTATGCTCCAGCCAGTTTTGATGAGGAAGGGTAAGGACTTGAAAGAGATAATGCTCATTCATATCACAATATCCTGAGGACAAATGTGTTTGTGGAAAGAATGACATAAAAAAACAAATCTCTTACAGACAATAAATATTTCTCAAAGAAGTGGTATTGATTTTTAAAAAAATTTAAATGAAAGATGTAACAGCCCAGGGCCTGTAGTGCATTAGTGAATGGGTTCTGCTGAAACGCTGGGTCAAATTCTGTCAGCAGCATGTTCTCTTCCTAATTGAGAAAAAAGCCTTAGAAAAAGAGAAATAAATAGCTGTCTGTATTCTTTCATGGAAACTGAGAGAGTAATTCTTAAGAGTGTATCTTTGCAGTTTCATTAAATTACAATCCAGAGCCTTTATAAAATTTTTCTTTGAAAAAAAAAGAAGAGATTTACTGGCGTTGGGATCTAGAAGGGTCTTGACCCCACTGTTCTTTACTGTCTTGCAGATAGTCCGGTGTGGCTTAAAACTTCACTATTAGTACAGTTCAGCCACACAACCGACCCTCAGCATGAGATACTGACTCCTGAGAGGATGGAGAACAACAAGATAAAATGACAGTCATCTTGATCAATCCAGGGCCTTTGAAGCTAATTCTAAAGATCGTATTTCTCTGGTTCTGGCAAAGACTGTGTCCTGACTTCCTAAAGTAATACTGTATACGTAAAATTGCAGCAGATAAAAACACAGTGGGTCCTTTAAAACTTTCCTTTAGAGCTTGATAGTAAGCTGAAAAAAATCAACTTTGAAAACTGACATAGCAGGTTTCCTGCTGATAAACACATTAACCGAGCTCTTCTTTCACTGACTCCAGCAATTCTGCTTCTTCAAAGTGAAGGTTACGGTTATGTTTACAGGTCTCTAGATTTTAAAAACATATGAAAAGTTACAAATGAGAGGAGCTTTTTGGCCCTCCTAGCTTTTATTTGGTTGCTAATAGCTAATTGGTCCTGGGATCTCCATTTCTTGAAAGAAGTCAAGATACTGGCGTCAACAACATGGCTGGGTAGCGGATTCAATTTGTGTGCAGAAAGCCACTTGTGGTCAGTTTTAAATACACACCACAACAGTGGTTTCTGGTTCATGTCTCACTGTTGATTCTGGATACACAACTAGAGCAGAAAGGTTGTGTTTGTCAGAGTTGCATTATTCTGCAGCTGCTTTTGCATGGTTAAATCGGACGCACTTGTTCACTCAGCGCTGATAACCCACATGTGATGTAAATTCATATTAATGTAAAGCAGCGTGTTCATGGAGATAAAAATGCCCACGAATTGGTATGTAGGTCAGAAAATAGCAGAAAATCAGGCTAAAGCAGTGTGCTCTTGACAAGCCTGGCTGCAAGGCACTGTGCAGACACTGCTGTTCGTACAGCTCAGTGTCACAGGAGAGGAGTGCATAGACATATCTCTCGTCAGCGAGCAGACTAACTAAACAAGGGATCTACTGGACGCGTCTTATCAATTCCCGAATAGTGGCAACGAGAGAAGGGCAGCCATTCCTCCCTTCCCATCTGCTGCACCTCCTCTTCGGCAGGAAGCGCAGGGCCGCGTCTCTCAGGGCGGACAGGCAGCTGAACCCGGGCCAGCGAGACAAGCGGGCCGCGCACGCTGTTTTAGAGAAACTCGATGTGTGCTGGACTGGCCAAGGGGAGGCTTGCTGTCCCTTTCTCGCCCAAACCGTGCCATCTGCTCCTGTCTGCAAGGACCTGTGGCAGCCCACGCCGTGTGCGCCAGCACACCTGTAAATCAGGCAGCTGGCTTTGACCTCACCAATGAACGAAGCAAATTCATTGGTCTGTACATTTTCATTTACCGGTGTGTGCACACTCCTCATGCAATCACATAAGGGTCTAGGCTCACAACCGGCTCACAAGCTGCTTTATTTCTGCGTGCTATTCTATAGTATGTTTTTGTCTCTATTCTGCGTGCAGGTAGGATGATGGTCCCTAATCTTTGTCAGTTCCTTTCTTCCTGGCCCCTGAGACCCGCGGCTGCTCTCCATCAGCAGGATGTGACAGCCGTCAGCGGGCAGTGTGCCGCGGAGCCTGGCTGTCAGTATGTCAGTATGGATCTGGGGCACCAGCTCTGATCTGTACAAGCCGCGGTCCTGCAGCGTGCGCACACGGCACACGCGTGACCTCCTGCCCCGGCGGGGGCGCTCCTCACCTCGGGCGCGATGTAGTCGGGGGTCCCGCAGAAAGTCCTCGTCGTCACCCCATCATACATGCTCTCTTTGCACATCCCGAAGTCGGCGATCTTGATATGACCCTCCGAGTCCAGCATGACATTGTCGAGCTTCAGATCTCTGTAAGAGAACGGAAGCACGAGGCTCAGGCGCGTCGGAGAGACTGCAGGGAATTTAAAATAACGTCAGAGATTAACAAGCTCGATGGAGGACTGAAAGACGGGGAAATGAAGGAGAAAAGAACATTCAAGTCTTTTGAATCATAATCACCGCTCATTGGCAGCAGCTTCCTTCATTCCACTTCTGTTTAAAGAAGCACAACTGCTGCAGAATGTACCTGTGATTGCAATCACGTTCAGCATGAGGCTCAGCCCAGCTACACTTCACAAATCGGAAGTTACAATCACAGCCTCGTCAGAGCGGAGCAGCGCTTGCACACACCCTGGGAACAGAGGCCGCTCCTGCCCCCTGAAACGCCCAGAACTTCAAAAATCACTCTAAACACTACTGCAGAAGAAATATTAAATTTATTGCCTTTATTACCACTTTTTATTACTCTGATTTAACTGTAGCTAAATCTACAGTTCTTCATCTTCTTGCTCGAATGTACTTATGGCTCCTTTATTTCTGCAGCCTGTTTTCATGCCACTGGTCATGAATTTTGAACAATATGTCCCTTTCTGCTTCTGCAGCTGTGTGACTGCATGCTTCTGGATATAATGAGCCTGGGTTCTAACAGGTGTTCATATCATTTCGGGTTCTAATCTTAATTTTGGCTATTTACCACCCTCACCTCCCCACTTGTCCTTTACTTGGGCACGCAGGACCTACCGGTATATAACTCCCTTCTTGTGCAAGAAGAATAGTCCGACAGCGATCTCTGCTGCATAGAACCTGCAATTACAGCAGACGGGTTAGAGGGGTCCAAGGCTTTCGGACGGCTGAGCTGCATCCATGAAAACATATTTTATTTATTCATGCAATCATTATAAATTCCCACTGAAGATTTTTATGGAAATGACAAATCCCCACCGCTTCAGGAACTGAATGATACTAAGAGTCAGCAAATTTGAATATCTAATCATAAAAAAGATCTCAACACTTTTTTTCAGTCCATTTTTTAGGTTGCCTGAACATCATGCTACGTAGTGGCGATGAGTCCGATTTCTGTGTGAGCCTTACAGACTTGGCCATTATCCAAACACAGCCTCCCTCACTGAAACACGCAAGCACCAACGCACGCAATACTGTCTGTGAGGAAGTCAGAATATGAATACGAGCTTCAGCGGTTTTGAGATTTCCGACGGCTGTGTAGGACTGAAAACTGCCTCCTGCCTCTTGATTTCACCTTTGCTGCGTCTTACATTTGCAGAAAAATATACATACTGACCACACAGATCAGACCCGTCATATGCTTCCTCCAGGAGCTGTATAAATAATCAGTTTTGCTTTGAAATGGAATGAAAATGTTTCTTTTTCATCCACCTCTTTTGGGTTTTTTCTTTTCAAATGCTCGATGCCTGCATCAATTCAACAAGGCCGTTTGCAGCACATGCTCTCCAAGCTTTTTTTCTTTTGCTCTGAAGAATTCTGCTTTTCGCTGGAAAATAGTTGTGCTCCAGCTTGGCTGATTTCTTTGTTTTTCTGGTTGACAGCCCACCTCTGAAGCCCCCCTTTCCGCCTTTTGATTAGAAGAACCGACTAACATTTATCATGCAGCAGCAGCATGTCTGAATAACAAGCAGGATCTGCTGACAGTGAGATTCTCAGCCAGCCGGTCGATAAATACAATAACATTCCTACCCATTCCCGCTGAGAAATCCATTCAATATCAGGGTGCCATTGACTAAGTGCTGATCTACATTAAATCGATAGCCCGTGCTTCTAGAAGCAAGTCAGTGAACAAGCAGCAGGGCTCCTTGTTTGTGAACAAATAAATCTGGACCATAAGGCAGTCTTTGCCAGGTCCTCTTTTCCAGACTACCTTCCAAAAAGATTCATTTTCCTTAACAGAGAAGAATCGATCGGGAGCTTTTCAGGCCTGTTCACCTGTAACACCCCATTCCAGCAGGCTCTAATTAGTATCAAACAATTAAAACACAGCCCTGCAACGGTCATACAGTATGTTGACTAGTCAGGCTTCTTTAATAGCTGCCCCATGTGCTGCTGTGTTTCAGGCATTCTGGGAAGCGCTGAAGATCCTTACACTGCCTGTGGCTCTTTGAACTTCCCCACTTGCTGGATGTGGTACATGAGGTCTCCACCATTGACATACTCCATGACGAAATACAGGCGGTCCTGGGAACAGGAAAGACAGAGAGAAATGAGGGCCAAGGCGTGACTTCTGGGGGGAGATAGCGGGCGGAGGTCACCCTTGGCATGTTCCATCACCTCTCATTTCATCTGAGGTGGCTGCTGCTTCTCACAGCAGTGTGGCAGAGTCCTGCTGATATACAGTACATGCGTGGCATACTGCAGCTGTGGTGCACGTGTATAATGTATGTGTGACCTCAAGGCTGAGCACGCCTGGCCCAACCCACTGCATGCAAGCACACGCGTGTTATTTCAGTGTAAGAACATCCACATAAACTCAATTCCCAATTCATGTTGTGTTTGCTATAACCAGCTCCCTCCTTTCCCTCTTGTCCTGCCTTCATGCTGAAGACCGGAAACGAAAGAAAAGACTTCAACAATGGATGCAGTTGCTTGAAAAACTGGGCTTAGTAACTGAGTTGGTCACCATGTTCCACTGCAAGCTTTAGGCCAGCGCAGAAAAGGCCTCGGTGCAAAACACTGCCATTGACAAGGAAGCAGCAGATATTCTGGATTTCAACTTCATTTTATGTAAGAATCCAATCATACTGGAATTTGCACGGTGCAACAGGAGCTGGGGCTGTTCCCAAATCTCAAAAACTACTGCCAGTGCCTTTCACTCTTCATGTCAAAGATATGTGAGGCCTAATCATGTAAAGCACTGCCCCAGTAGAGGATTAGAGAAGCTGCAATATTTATAACTGAAGCATGCTTAACTGGTGCATTCTCCCTTGGTGCTGTGGGAATTTAGGACTGATGCATCACAGAAGAGTTCACCAGAAACCCTGAAGTGAAACTCCTGTCAAAAAAATGGGTAAAGGCCCTAATGAAGCCTGGCACCGATAGGCTTCATTAATTTTTTTAATTAGTGCCATTAACACTCCCTCACATAAGCGCATCCGTCTCCTAAGAGACGCAGCGCAGTGATCTACCCAGCTGCACGCATCACTCATCAATCACAGCGCAGACCGGGAGCCGGGCCAGCGCGGGGGCCCTGGCGCTGTTTGTGTGGCACAGAGGAGGCGGCCGCGCAGCTCCAGGCCAGCGAGCGCAGGCCCCCCTCTCGGTCTCCATTCCAGCAGCCCTGCGCAGCGGCACGGCCGCGGCAGACCCCGAGGGCTGACCACGGAGGCCAGGAAGGAGCCCGGCTGGACACCTGCAGCGCCGAACCCCACCAGTCGAAATAACGGGGACGGACGGGGACTGGGACTGGGCTCAGAGAGTAATGAAGTACAGGCTCTGCTTGGCAACTCCTCAGAGCGCTTACGAACCTCGGACTGCAGACCTATTTTCATACAAAGGCATGTGGCTGAGATGCATCACAGAAGTGAGCCTTGGTTCCTTTTTGGATATATGATATATATTTATAATATATCACATGAATATAATATACAGTATATCATATGAAAAATATCTATAATATTCATATATTTAGATACAGGCTGTATCTCTATCTGCAAAAACACTCCTAGTTTTTCACTAAAAACTGTGACACAGTGCTTGTGACTGTGATTTCATATTATAACAGTGTACAATGAGATTAGCTCATCCAGCTGTTTGAAATGCCATCTGTTGTGATTACAAGAAATGGCATATTACAAGAAAAGGCTTATTTAAAAATGTTGAAGCCTGAAGCGATTTTACATCAGCTCCCGAGAAAAGAAAATAACAACAGAACAGCACTTCCTCCTCTCTGCCCTCCCCCACCCCCACCCCCTGCTAATCAGGAGAGAGATTCAGTGTACAGGAGCCCCTGGATTTCAGAGAACAGTTCCTGACTCTGGCTCGACCGGAGTGACAGATGCACTTGTCGACACACAGCAGCCTGTGCATCAGAGAGTGGCGTCCCAGCACTGTCAACACGTAGCGCTCGAGGGGGTGTCAGGGACTGGAGCTTGTATCAGAATGATTCAGGAGTAAAAGGAAAGGATCTGGCTAATGTAAAGAGGTATTTAAGAAATGCAGTATTCAATCAAAACATCTTATAATGCAACTTTGTAACGCTTTACTTGATCAAGGCTAAAAAGACGCTGGCCTAGCTTCTTCATAAACACTACACCACATGATCAGACAGCAGGCATAATCCTTCACAACCACCAGTGCTAATGACATTACAGGCATGTGAATATTCATAAGGGTTCATAACAGCACATACTTTCAGCCGAAAGCTCACAGCAGGATTCGCGGAAGAGAGAAGGAGGCAAAAACGATGGAAGAGCCCCAGAGCTGACAATGACTCTGCTGATGCAACTTGGCAACAGTGGCTCTGGTATGTTGGTGATAAACGTAAGTTTGCTGTGTGTTGTCTTATTGTGCTGTGTAGTGTTTATAAGGGAGGTTTTGCCACCTCTTTCAAGTGGTGGTAACATGGTAACATCAGAGGCGAGGCAGCTGGAGGAGGCTGTCCTTACCACCGTCTGGAAGCAGGAGTGCAGCTGAGTGAGGAATGGGGGCTTGTCCCGCTGGGCGAGCACCCTCTTCTCCACCATCGTACACTCCACGTCATCGTCCTGGATCACCACGTCCTTCTTCAGGATCTTGATGGCGTACAGCTCCTCTGTGCCCTTCAGCTCCGCCAGCATCACCTGCACACAAGTGGAACAGAGGGGGCTCACTGCCTGGCCACAGCGCTGGGACAGAGGGCAGAGCCGACACTGGAGGCAGGGTGGGAGCTCTGGGAGAGAGGGCAGTGTGGAGGCAGGGTGGGTGGTCTGGGAGAGAGGGCAGTGTGGGAACCCACAGGGTGGGAGCTCTGGGAGAGAGGGCAGTGTGGGAACTCACAGGGTGGGAGCTCTGGGAGAGTGGGCAGTGTGGAGGCAGGTTAGGAGCTCTGGGAGAGAGGGCAGTGTGGGAACCCACAGGGTGGGAGCTCT